GGGGGGGGGGGGCCCCCCCCCCCCCCCCCCCCCCCGCAGCTGGTTCCACCCGTGCACGACTCTGGCTCTCAAAACGTCTTCCCCTAAGATCCAGCCCTGATTTAAACCCGTTCTTGCAAGTCCTATATGTATATATATATATGCATTTTATGTAAGCCGCCCTGAACCCACCTTGGCGGGAAGGGTGGGGTATGAATCAATCAAACAAACAGGAACCGCTCCCTGCCCTCCTCTGAGTGACACAGCCCTTCAGATATAACAATAAAATGTTAATGAGAAAAGAGAGCCATCCTGTCCCCCCTCAGCCTCCTCTTCTGCAGACTAAACACTCCCAAGTCTCTCAGTTTTTCCTCACAGGGCCTCTTGGTCTCCAGGCCCCTAGGTCATCCTTGTCTCTCTCCTCTGCACCCACTCCAACCTGTCTACATCCTTTTTGAAGCGAGGCCTCCAGAACTGCACACACAGGACTCCAGGTGTGGTGTACAGCGGGACTATAGCCAGTGTTCCCTCTAAGCTGAGTGAGTGTGAGCTAGCTCGCAGCTCTTTAGCCTCTGGCTCACACATCTTTGTCTTCGCTCAGGAAAGGAGGGCTCCAGAGCAAACTAATTTATGCAGTAGACAAATCACTCACTCGCAACTTCAATGCCCGGGAGCTCACAAAGTAGAATTTTTGCTCACAAGAAGACTCCATAGCTTAGAGGGAGCCTTGACTATAACATCTTGCGATTTGGATGTTATGCCTCTGTTGATACACCCCCAAAATCGCATTAGCCTTTTTTTGTCGCTGCGTCACACTGGCTGCTCATATTTAACTTTCGGTCCACCTGTACCCCAAGATCTTGTTCACACACACTGCTGCCCAGAGGTATATCTCCCATCCAGTATGTGTGTTCCTCATTTTTATTGCCCAGGTGTAGAACCTGGCTCTTATCCTTGTTAAACTGCATTTTGTTCACATCCAGTGTGTTCAGATCTCGTTGAATTCTATCTCTTGTCTTCTGGTGTATTCTTTGCTCCTCTCAATTTGGTGTCATCTGCAAATTTAATGGGTAGCCCCTCCACACTCTTGTCCAGATCATTTATAAAAATACTGAAAAGTACCGGGCCCAGAACCGAGCCCTCTGGCACCCCACTGGACACCTCCCTCCATTCAGATGAAATGCCAGTGGCAACTACTCTTTGAGTGCGCTTCTCCAACCAGTTCCTTATTCAACTAACTATCCTACAGTCCAGTCCACAGTCCTCTAGTGTACCCATCAGAACATCATGGGGAACCCTGTCAAAAGCTTTACTGAAATCTAGGTAAACAACATCAACAGCATTCCCTCGATCCAGTAGGCTTGTCACTCGGTCAGAGAAGGAAATGAGGTTGGTGTGGCAGGACCGGTTGGGGACAAATCTGTGCCGACTTCCCCGGATCACCAAGTTGTCCTTTACAGATTGATCCCTTTAAAATGTGCTCCAGTATCTTCCCTTGGGCAGAGGTCAGACTGACTGGCCTGTAGGGTTTCAATTGATGAAGTATGTTAGATGGGGTTTCTTTTCATGCAGCTACTGGCCATCCAGTATGATCCCCTGATTCACGTGTTCCCAACGTAATCTGAGACCTAACTGTTTAGAAGCAGCAGATGCTGTGAAGTTATCCGCTTGTCCTGTGATTTCTGCAATTTATGGTGTACATGTGAAAATTATTTTTTTTGTAAATTGTTAAAGTATGTGCTAATGTAGTATGAGTTCTCATGCTTAGTATTGTTATGGAGGAAGTAGGATTCATGCGCCACTGAAAGTTAATTGGGGGGGTGTGCCACAAATTTTGTCTTTCATTGAACTAGGCAGTGTGCTGGTTTGGTTTGGTCTGAAGAGGGGGCTGTTTTGATTTCTCTTGGCTCCAGGTTAGGGTTATGTTACATTTCCCACTTGCTGGTCATGGGTGGGCATGAGCGTTCAGTTTAGGACGCTGTCGGTAGAAACACTTTTGAGTACACACTACTCTGAACATCTCTTGTACAAGCCTCATTGAACTGAACATATTGAACGCATGGTGGGCATTACTGTGTGGTTTGAATGGTATCTCTTCCACAAGGAATCCCTCTCTGATTGCCATCTTTTTATTGGGACTCCTTCCATTAAAAAAAAAAAAGCATTAAAGTTACTATATCCTTCAGCACGATTGTGCTAATTATAGAAGAAGAGGAGATTGGATTTATACCCCACCCTTCACTACCCAAAGGAGTCTCAGAGCGGCTTACAAACTCCTTTCCCTTCCCCTCCCCACAACAGACACCCTGTGAGGCAGGCGGGGCTGAGAGAGCTCTGACAGAGACTGCTCTTTTTCCAAGAACAGCTCTTATCAGAACTAGGGCTTGCCCAAGGTCATCCAGCCAGGTGCAAGTGGAGGAGTGGGGAAATCAAACCCCACTCCTGGTTCTCCCAGATTAGAGTCCGCACACTTAACCACTACAACAAACTGGCTCTCTTTTGCTAAATTTTCTGTCCCATGCCTCATCACACACACCGATGGCTGAGTTGTTCGATGGTTGCTTAATTCCAGACTAATATAGTAATGTCCCACATCTCTTGCTCCATTAATCTTGTTACTTTGGATTTTTTTGTTGTGCACACCAGTTTTGTGTATGTTTACTTGGAAGCAAGTCCCATGGGCTTCAGGGGAGCTTATTTCCAAATAAATGTGCATAGCTTTGTGGCCATATGATTTCTTTTGGTCCTGAGATGCTGTTTTTGGGGTGATGCTGTTCTCAAAGGAAAGGTCCACTCTTATAGGATAAATGAAACTTCCTGGTGGGTGGAGGAGGTCGCCGAGGGAGTTCCTGGGTCTTGCAGAATTCTCCAGTAAGGAAGGGAGGGAAGACTTAGGGCAGGGAGAAGGCATGCGAAGTGTGGACCAGGGCACTTCACTGGGCGGTGGGACATCCAGTGTTGGAAATGTAAGTGAGTGGCTGGAGTTCAGCCTTGCGAGGAATATTAATGTAGTCGGCGTATCAGGTCAAAAGACACTTTTATGAGTGGAGCCATTCAGACTAATGGCCTGATAATGTCCAGTGCCCGTTGGGGCTGGGCTTCTCTAATGCTGTCATTGTTTCCCAGTGAGTGTACTGAGACCAGGGCAGAATGGTGTCCAACTCTGCCGCTTCTTTGTGGGATTTGGGCTCCATGGAACAGCGAGTGGCTGGTCTTAGAGCTGAGATAGAGGGGAATGAGAGAGGCCATCAAATATGGAGGCTTAATGGTAACAGCCAAAATAGTGGTGGTTGCTAGTATTGGAGGTCTTGCTGCTGGAGTATGAGAATTTGGGTGATGGGTCAAGGGAGACCTCACGACTCACAAGGACTGAAGCGATTACTCTGTACTGTTGTATGCATTTTCTCCCAAACCTAGATATTCAACGAGAAGAGGAAAAGGTAAAAAGATCAATCAAAGATGCTGCCAAAAAAGGTCAAAAAGATGTGTGTGTGGTCCTGGCGAAGGAGATGATCCGTTCACGGAAGGCTGTGAGCAAACTGTATGCCTCCAAAGCACACATGAACTCTGCCCTGATGGGGATGAAGAATCAGATGGGTAAGGACACGGCTGAGCCTCTCAGGATGGCACTTTTCTGTCCCATCTTGTTCCGTGGGTTCCAATTGGCGCACAGCCATAAAAATCTCAGTGCAAAGAAACAAAGTGTAATAATGTTCAACAGGTAATATTTTATTTTAAAGCATTAGTTATGTCTGTATATCGTGAGGTTTGAGAATGCTGTTGCTGAAGTGAAGCACACAGGAGAACATGAGACTTTTTTGTAGAATAGATTTTCATTAGTTTTAGCAAGAATAAGAACAGACAACTACAGAAAAAAGAAATACCTGTAACAGAAAAGCAACTAACAGCAGTGAAGCATATACTCTTGTTTCAGTTTAACACTTTAAAGTCGAATCAGTTCTTGTCTTGTACTCCTGTCTCAGTTTAAAAATCTTGTAAGCGTTCTCTTTCTGTTTTATAATCACTTTGATGGTTTTCCAAGATAACTTCCAATCCATTTATAAAATCTCGCCCAGTTCCTTTTCAAAGATTTCTTCTTTTTCTTGTAATTGTAAATTCAGTTTATCCATTTCTGCTGCTTCCAAATATTTGTAGATTATTTCTTCTTTTGTTGGCGTTTCTTCTTTTTCCCAGTTCTTTGCATATAATAGTCTAGCAGTTGTTACAACCTGTATAAAGGAGAACATGAGACTTGAACGTGGGTCACAGGCCTGACCTGTCCTGGATCACTGATACCTAGTTGGACACAGCAGGAGGAGCTGATTTCTCTCAGTTTTGTCCAGTCTCTACTCACTGATCAGAGAGGGGAAACTGCCATGGTTACGGTTGGCTAACTATGTGCAATGTTGAATGGGTAGAGGTTCTCTTGGTGTAAAGCACTCCCGGCTGCCTGACAGTCTCAAAATAACACGGTTGGTCTTGGACCGGGGTATTTTCATGCCACCCTTTTCCCTGGGAGATCCAGGTGACATTGCATCCATGCAGCAGCTTGAGAATGAGTAGCCCAAAGTCACCGAGCACATTTCATCGCAAAACTAGATTTGAACCCGTGTACCCTGATGCTGGTTCAGCGCTCACCACTTTTACCACACTGGCTCATGAGGCTTTCAGTCCTCTGGGAGGATCAATGCTGAGACCCCATAGGGAGCTGTGGCTTAGGACTCCGGGACTGGTATGACCAGTGCAGGGCTGTCTCAGAACATGCAAGCCCCCATCCACGTGGCAGGACAGGCCCTTGATTCAGTTTTCTGCTCCACGACAGAGCAGTCATCTGGTAATGGAGGGGATTTTTTTCACTTCCCTTATTGGACTGAGGTTTGAATATCTAAAAATTAACCACCTGTGGAACTCTTTGTTTTCTAAAAGTACCTTTCATAGAAACTATACATTCTTTGAAAGAATTCTAATCTCAGACCATAAATCTTGTAAAGGTATGATCTCACTTATCTACAGAGAATTGTTAAGTAACTCATATAATTCACTCACTACCTACCAAACCTCATGGAATACAGATTGTGCCGTTCCACTGTCAGACTCCACTTGGACCAAAATATGGTCCTCTCCCAGCATAACGTTCTCTGAATATAAGAGCCCAAGCTCTTAAATTATTATGAAGATGGTATCACATGCCAACTAAACATTGTATCAATAAAGATTACTCACCTTTATGTTGGAGGGACTGCTGTGAATCTGCCAACTATTTTCACTGTTGGTGGATCTGTAAAAAAATAAAAGCATATTGGGCCACAATAATACAAGCCATTAAATCAATTACAAATATATATACCTCTTTCTCCAGATTTGTTATTACTCGATCTATGGCAAGGCATAGATATTCCAAGGATAAGTAAAGACCTTATCTCTACACTACTGATGGAGGCCAAATCAGTCATTGCAAGCAATTGGAAAAGCTCCAATCCTCTTACTTTACATCAATGGGATGTAAACATTTGGGAGCTTTATGCTATAGAAAAAATTAACATCTCTATCCCCTCTAGTAATAGCTGCAAATCACAATCTCTGTTTTATTCTAAATGGCTTTCTTATATTGAGGCTTCCTTTTTGAAATCCATTGTTCCTACCTCTTCAATACCTCGATACAAGGAAATCATAGCAATTTTCTAATTGTAATATTTACCCTAACACAGAGTTTTTGTTAGTCATAACTTATAAATGTATATCACAGCTAAAATTGTATTCTATCTGTTAGTTAAGTAAGTTACAAATTCTTTGATTATTGTTCAATTTGTTTTATCAGTGTTATCTTGCTGAATGTTTTCTTCATCCTAATTACTGTTAGTGTTAAAAGATATAAATAAAATATTTTTTTTAAAACCCACATGAAACTCACAGTTTTATCAGCTATAAGCCAAACATACACCACAAGATGTGACTCAGCGAGACAGTTTTGTTATGTGAAAAACTTCTTGGCAGGCTCTTCTTTCTTCTCCTTAAATGGAAAGGGCAGAAAAAAAATACAAAGGAAAGAAAGGGGGGGGGGAAGAACCTCAATAATTGAATCCATATATTGAAAAATCAAAATGTAAAGAGTTTAAAACCAGTTGCCATGTAGATTAGTCTCTATCTGATACTGGAAATTTTTCTTTATTATAATTCCAAGAGAGAAAGTCTAAAACAAGGGTATTTTTTTTTGAAAGGAGGACAAAGTATCCAAATTCCACCCAAGAGAGGAAAATAAAGAGGTCCAAGATCTTCCAGAAAGAAGTTACTGTAATCCAGTTGTTTAGAAGAGAGAGTTTGTTAACAAGACTTCTGGATGTTTAGCCCTAACAACAGAATAGCAGTGCTTCTCATGTCTTTTACTAGCCGTGGGAAGGAGAGGGGGGAACTCCTCCCCCACCCAGTCTTAGACTGTGTCTTTTTACATTTTAAAGGGCTTAAATGTTAAAAACAGGTTCTGGGTTTGTTGCTTAGACAGTTACTCACAGTGATCTTCTTTAGGTGTTTTTAGGTAGAGTTTCTAAAGACCCTCTAAACGGGTAGCGACAGCTGGTTGCTCATGGCTGCCAAAAACACACTTCAGTCTGGCTTCGACCCGTGTGCTGCCGCAGCACAGGATGTCCAGATCGAGTCCCTTGCTCTGCACCCCCCTCCAAGGAGTGCAGTGGAGTTCGGGAGCCCCTGATACTCCTCTAAAAGAAGCGCAAAGCTGGTGGTGCCTGGGGAGTAAGTCCCGGTGCTGTTCGTCTTGCCGCACTGCAACCCGGAAGTCCCACATCCGTGCTTAGTTCTTGTGGTCCTTTCTTACATGCCTAGGGAAATGCTGATTGCCATTTTGGGGTCAGGAAGCAGTTTTTCTCCAGGCCAGTTTGCCAGGGATCCTAGTTTGTTTGTTTGTCATCTTCTGGGTGTGGAACAGTGGTCACTGCAGATGTGGAGGGGGGAGGTATTTGTGAATTTCCTGCCTTATGCGGGGGGTTGCATAAGATGACCCTGGAGGTCCCTTCCAACTCTAAGATTCTATGATTCTATGATGCCAGCCTGCTTAAGGCCTTGAGGGTCAATACCAAAATCTTGAACTTGACTCGGTATTCCACTGGGAGCTGGCACAGCACTGGTTGTATATGTGCCGTCTGTGGTACTTCCATCAGGACTCGTGCCACCACATTCTGGACCAGCTGGAGCTTCCAGGTCAGTCTCAAGGGCAGGCCAGTATACAGCGAGTTACAGTAATCCAGACTGGAGGTGACCGTAGCATGGACTGCAGGGGGTAGGTCAGGATGGGACAGGAAAGGGGCTAATTGCTGGACTTGGTGCAGGTGAAAAAATGCCAGTCTGGCAATAGTTGTGACTTGGGCCTCCATAGTTAAGGAGGCATCAACCGTTGCTTCAGGACTGATGGGGAGGGA